AGGCATTACAATTCCTGACTTGAAATTATACTACAAGGCTACTGTGATAAAATCAGCATGGTACTGGCAAAAAAAAAAAAAATAGACCCGAGGATCAGTGGAATAGATTAGAAGACACTGAATCCCCTATGAACACACTCAGCCACCTTATCTTTGAAAAAGGGGCCAAACATGCTCACTGGAAGAAAGATAGCCTCTTCAACATATGGTGCTGGAAAAACTGGGTCTCTACATGCTGAAAACTCAAAGTTGAACCAGGTCTATCACCATGCACTAAACTAAAGTCAAAATAGATTAAAGATCTGAACAATAAAGCAGAGACACTGAATCTTCTGGAAGAGAAATCAGGAGGAAGACATAGGGGTAGGCAAAGAGTTCATGAACAGAAATCATGCACGGGAAACAGTTGAAAAGAAAGAAATAACTGGGACCTGCTCTTACTGAGAAGTTTTTTCACATCAAAAGAAATTACCAACAAAGTGAAAAGGCAACATACAAAATTGAAAAAAAAATCATGACAAATAAACACTCAGACAAAAGTCTGCTCTCTAGAATTTATAAAGAACTAAAAAACACTAGGGCCCCAAAATTTAAAGAGCCAATCCAGAAATGGGCATCCGAGATGAACACACGCTTCTCAGAGGATGAAATTAAAGAAGCGAATAAATATATGAAAAAATGCTCCACATCACTAGCCATCCGCGAAATGCAAATTAAAACAACATTGAGATATCATCTCACCCCAGAAAGAACGGCTATCATAAAGAAATCACCCAACAACAAATGTTGGACAGGCTGTGGGGAAAAAGGAACACACTGCTGGTGGGAATGTAGATTGGTGCAACCATTATGTAAATCAGTATGGAGACTCCTTAGAAAAGTTGGACTGGAAATCCCCTTTAAACCAGCTATTTCTTACTGGGAATTTTCTTGGAGGATCTGAAAACACCATATCATAGGGATATATGTGTGTCTATGTTTATAGCAGCAGAATTTGTGATATCCAAATCTTGGAAACAACCAAGATGCCCATCACGTGAGGAATGATTGAAAAAGATGTGGTAGGCCTCCCCCA